CCCCGGCTAAACCCAACACAGACCCCTTCCTTCATGCCCCGGTAATGACAAAACCCCTTTTCCTCCACCCACAACCCAGCCGGCTGGTGCTCAGCTCCTGATATCAACCATGGAGCCCCGGGACTGGTGTCTCTGGCATGCCAGGAAAGCCTGTAGCACGGAGGTTTGTCATCTTCCAGGGTTTGGGGGCTCCTCCAGCACACCCCCCCCTTGCATCCTTCCTGCTGGTCCAGTGCTCCTGTCGTGTTCCCAGTGCCGCATCTGCGATGCGTGAGCTGCTCTTCTCGGTGCCCATCGATAGTTGCTGTCAGGAAGATGTAAAACTGCAGAGGGTAAGTGCACTCAGCACCCCCGAGATGGTTTGTACGTGACGCTGCCCTTCTCCTGTGACAGGAAGAGCTCAGACCCCAGGCCAAGGGCAGCACTGGAAATCTGTTGCTCAGATGCAGTGCCTACACAGCGGGTACAGCCGACCCCGCGGCCATGGGCAGGCGATGAGCTCAGCTGCTTTGTGGGGCAGATTCACGTGGAAAAGCAGATTTGCCTTGACTTTCATGGGTTTTTATTGTCCTGGGCAGTAGAAGACTAATAAGTTTTTCTTTAGCTAAAAAGCTCTACGTTTTTCCTCTCTGCAGCCCAGATGATGTCAAGTGTGTACCCTGACAGGCTCCGTCCCAACATCCCCAGGAATACTTGGGAAGCGTAAGAGGGACCACAGCAAATGGCGTGGAGTGTCTTACAGTGGATATTTCAGTGGAAACCAGGAAGGAAGCAACATCTCTGCAGCACTTAAGGTGGCTTTTTCAGTTTGCCGGGATGCGTTTCCACCACTCTGGGTCCCACAGGATTGTGCGTGTTTGTGGCTTTTCCAGCAGCAGCACTAACGAGCCCCTGTGACAGTCCAGTGCCAGCCTTTTGGCACTACCTAGTGCCTTGATTTCCGTGAGCCAGGGCTTCTGCCCAAAAGCTGCCTTCATCCAAATGCTCAGTGTGGGGAGACTCTGCCAGATGAAAGCGGCCAGGGAGGTCCTCATGTCCCCGCAGTAGCTGGGGCAGAGAAGCCGCACCTTGTGGGAAGGCTGCACCCGGCAGCCTGGCATGAGCCCGGGGGGTTTTGAGGGTGGGCAGCTGGCTCTGGTGCTTGGAGGATGAGCTGGTTCCTCACTGGTCCTGTGCCGGCTGCCCTTCTGGGATACTGCAGCGCAGGAGGGTGCGTGCATACGTGTGCAGGGACGTGGGCTTTTCAGGGGTGAAACGGGACCCAGGCTGTCTCACAGGCTTGTGAGACTTCACTAAGCTGCCAAACCGGGGTGCCAGCTGGGAATGAGCAGCAGGTCCTCTTCTACCTCCCTGGGAAGGACTCCCATCTGGATTCAAGTTCAGTTGGAAACATCTTCCCAGTCTTGGAGTGCAGCAGACCCTCTGACCGCCCCGCACACATCAGCTCAGCACCTTATCTGCCCACCCCAAGGAGCGAGCGCAGCCGCCAGCAGCCGCTCTTAGGCTGGCTCACCCCCTCACCGGGGCTTGCTGTGCCCCCGCGTTGCTCAGCACCAGCGGTAACCCCGCTGTGTCTATCCCAGCCCCGTTAGTGCCACGCTTGCAGAGCTGCAGCACAGCCTCCCCCTGTTCATAGCCCCGTAGTTCACAGCAGGGAAATATTCTTTAACACAGCGGTGATATTTAAACCAGGGAGGTATCAGTTTGGGGTATTTTTAAGTTGTTTTCAGGCATTCAGTCCCTTTGCTCCAGCCTCCGCTCCACATCTGTGACTGCAGCCTTCTCCATCCAGCTGAGAGGGAAATTATGTGTGCACGAGGAGTCAGGGCTCCCTTCCCGGCACACGGCTCACAGCGCTAGGACTGCCGCGCCGGCCGCACGCTCAGCACATGCTCCAGGATGCTGCACCTGAAGGTCCAGTTTCTGGATGACTCCCAGAAGATCTTTGTAGTTGATGTAAGTGGGTATCATATTCTTATTGGTGTTTCTGTGCAAATTGCTGAAGTCATTGCTGCTCTGAAGGATTGCATGGTCTCTGATAGCTTCTGGTTTTCAGCTTTAAGGAAAACCCCTCAAATACAAATGAAGAGGTTACAGTGCTGATTGCTGAGCGTGTTTCAGCACCAACATGCTCCTGCTCTCGCCTCTCATTGGCATTATTTACAAAGAAAGAGGAATGGCTTTTACTTACCTGGTGTCATCTTTGGGAAATTGGCTAGGATGAAGTGATGTTCTTATAAAGTGTCGGGTTCTTCTCTCATTTGGCTGCCAGTATAAGCATTCAACAAGGAAGAAAAATCTGGGAACAGAATACAAATAGAGTATTTAACCAAAGTACCCCTGGTGAGAAACATCTGCATGCATCTCTTCCCGAGCATTCAGTTGAAAAGGAAAACTGCGTGTCTTTGAGAGTAGCTGTGGAAAAAAATCACTGTATCTTATTTTCTGCATGACAGTGTCCCTCAACACACTGTCATTAATAACTCACGTTTAGTAAATGCTAGCTCTGATTACTGACTGCTGAAATGGGTTTTAAATGTTAAGTATTAGTATCTATGGTGTTAGATTTATATATAGATAGATAACTGAAATGAGATCTATTTTGTCTATGTGATAGAAGCAAATCTTCTTACGAACGTGATGATAGAGCATTTACTGTTGGTTGGGATTTGATAATCACGGTAGCTAATTGAATTAGCTAATTCAAGTAGATCTGTCCTAGCACTTATGCACTTCTCCTATGGGAGCAGAGTGCTTTATATAAAATTGTTTTTTTCAAGTTCCATTACATTTCTTAGAGAGTCCTGTCCTCTGGATTTATAGCATAGTCTGAGAATTGCTTCATCTTGGACGTACTGCTCCGTTTCTTTGTGATAGCAGTTTTGCAGAGAAGATTGTATAGCAATTCCATCACTTAGCACTATATGGAAGTTGTTTGATTTAGTTTAATTAATGTATCCTAGACCTAGAGTCAGCTTAAGAATAAGACTAGACATTTAAAAATGCTTTTTTTCCCATATTGATTTGATCCAGGGTGTAGTGAGAGACAATTTGAAAGATGCTGCTGGTACAATATTGCTGCGGGTTTTTTTTCAGTCTCTGCTTTCTTCTTTGCCCCAGACACTTCCAGCACTATAGCTCTGCACAACATGTTATTGCAGCAAATAGCTTCCATTAGAGGAACTCCTGGTCGTTTCCTTTTTTAGCATGGAATGGTATTGGAAACCCCTTTTAGGCATTTCATGCATTTGATGCTGGGAACGATAAATGAGTAGTTGAATTAGTGACTTCTCCATTGTAAAAGGACTGCTTTGGGCTAAGTTTTGAGCAGATATTTCAAGCAACTCCTCCTAAGCCTTTCCTGACTTTGGAAAGCTCTTTTGAATTTGCGGTACATCAGTATAATGGGAAGGAAAAGGACAAAAGAGAGAAAACACAACGGGCCTGATTCCCCTCTGCCTCGCGCTTGGCGTATGTGTCTGCACCTGTCTCACGTGGGTGTCACAGCTGCCGGCACGTGCAGAGAGGTCTCGTTTAGAGCCCAGCTTTGCACGGGAAAGCGTTCGTCCCTGGGAAGGCTTCTGCCTCCATCCATGTCTTCACCAACAGCTGGGGCCCAGCACCCTCGCTGCAGCCACCGGGCTCCTGGGATCACGGAGCATCAGCTGCACACTGGATGGAGGTGGTTCCTGGGGTGGCCCCTTCCCCCCTGGATACCTAGAGCTGTGACCTGGCATGTGCTCTTGCCTGTAAAGTCCCTCCTCTTCTCTCTGGAAAGGGTTTAAACAGTGCAGCCCTCAGTCTGGGCAGCCTCAGGAGCCCTCCCTGAGCAGCACAGAAAGGGCGAACCACTGCAGCCTGGGCAGGCAAAGCCTGGGCATCTCTGTCCGTGGGATTCGCTACAGGGCAGGATTCAGTGGGAAGCAAAAAAACCAGAAAGGAAAGGCAAAGCAAACAAGCCCAGAAGAACTAATTGTTGGAGCTGAGTGAAGGGCAAAGTCTCCTGTGGTCTACGTGTCCCTTGTGATGAATCCAGGTGGGAATCCATGGACAGGAGCTGTGCAGGGCTGGCTGCACCTGAGCTGGTCCAGCGACAGCATGGGGAGCGTCGGGGCCAGTGGCTTTTGGTGCGTGGCACTGCATGCCAGCTGCGGCCAGGCGGAAGACACTGACCAGGGGGTATCCCCCGAGGTGGTGGGGAAAGATCACACCAAGTCCCATGAGCTGTCACTGGCCCCGAAACCACAGACCTGGATGCAGCAGCCGGTGCTATGGGGAACGCTGCGGAAACGTGGCTTTGCCGCTGGACCGCAAGTGCTGCCAGGGTGTCCTTTGGGGATAGGTGTGCATGTCCCCATGTGTCACCCATGTTGCTGCCTGTCTCTGGATGTGCCTCTTGCTTTCTTACCCTGCTTCCACCGTGGAGAAGAAAGGCAAGTGCAGCCTCTCCTTTCCACTGTCCTCAGCACAGGGGTTTCTGCCTGTGGGTGCTAACCTGGCCCTGTCATTGAAGGCACATTTAGGGTTGGACGTGGGGTGCCCAGCCCCACACCACGCTCCTGCCTCGCACTGTGCTCCTCCGGCACAGCCCCCTGCTCTTGCCTGATGCTGTCCCGAGCACAGCCGTACCCCAGAGCTTCCAGCAGCGTGGGTCAGGACCTCCAGCCCAGGATGGAGCACCTGCAGGCACCACTCTGCAAGAGAAAAGCCTCTGCTTTTAATCCAGCCCCTGCACCACAGGGCTGCATCTCCCCGGTGAGCAGGTTTTCCTGGGGATGGAGCCGCTCATCCCCACTGCCCTGGGCAGTGCTGGGCTTGGAGGAGAGCAGGTCGCTCCCAGCAGTCATGTCGTGGGTAATAACCCCGTAAGAAAGGCTTGTCTTTTCTGGCTGCCTGACAAAGGCCAAGGCCTTTCATGCTAGAAAATTCTAGCTTGGAAACAAACATTTATAATTGTTTTAATCCCTTGTGATCTAGTAATTTCGAGGAGAACCGGGAGTGCTGCAGAGCGAATGCTGTTATTACGCGATCACTTTTCAGCAGCCTTTCAGCACGGAGCCAGCAATTTCATCCCAGGAGAAGCTGTGAAAGGTGGTTATTAGTGTGCATCACCGCCAGCAGCCGGGGTCCCTCCCGTCCCTGCCGGGAGCAGCCACTGGCACGGGGAGCTGCAGCCTGCCTTCACCTCCATCACCCGAAACGCCGTGATTTGGCAGCTGTCTAACCCAGCCTCTCTCCTCCAGCTTGCTTTTGCACTAACCCATGCTCAGTTTTGGTCTGGGTTTTGTTTTTTTTTCCTTGACACAGGAGTAGGAGAGATTTTGCTGGGGTGGGTCATTTTCTAGTCAGGGGCTTCCCGAGTTGTGTCCAGCTGTGTCACACAGCATGGGAACAAGTCAAGCACAACCTTCCAAGGGTTTCTGTTTACCTGGTGTAACTACAGCCTGGTCTCCCTTATCAGCATGTTGTGCCACTTAATTAATATTGCTGAAGTGCATGGCTGACCCAGGGCCCAAGGCACAGGATCTCCGCAGGGTCCTGTTGCTGTTAATTACCATTAACCATAATAGCAGCTCTTCCCCGGCAATCCGGCTGCCGGCTGTTGGGGCACACGGGCTCGCTGGGCAGGTTTGAGGTGCGCTTCCGTTTGCTCTTCATCGAGCACGTTTGCCACGGCCGTCCCTGGGTCAGGCTGATGCTCGATCCAGGGATAGCCCACTGGTTTGCGAGGGATAGAGCTGCCCGGACAGTGGTGGCTGCAGAAGGTGAGCCAAAAGCAAGATTCCTTTCCTTTCTGGTTTACATCCCTAACAAAGGAGAGAAGTGATGAGGAGGAATCTGGTTTCCAAGAGCAGAGGTAAGGGGCATGCGGTGTGCAGGTGTCCTATCCCACATGCCGAAACCAGCAGCATTTGTTCAGTAGGGGTTTGGAAATCAGGGAAATCCCTCAGCTCCTCTCAGGGTGAAGGCAGGGAGCTAAAACTTCTCCCCCGTCTCACTGAAATCCCATCACCACTGCTGTCAGCACTGCCTAACCCCCCGCTTCCACGGTGTGTTTGTTTGCTAGCAAAAATCCTGCGGAAAAGGGCTGTTCAACCTCGCCTGCAGCCACCTCAACCTTGCGGAGAAGGAGTACTTCGGGCTGGAGTTTCGCAGCCAGGCTGGGAACCACGTGAGTGCGGCACGACCCCGACGCTGCAGCCTGCGACCCCGCTGGGCTGTGACCCCATCCTCTCAGCGCCCGCTGGCACGGCCGGGGGCTCGCTAGCACCTCCCTGAAATACCCCATGGAAAATTTCCACGGAGAGGTTTGCCACGATGCCAAAAACCCCTTGAAAATAGGAGCAACAAGGGGAGCCACAAGCCGTTTGGCAAAGCCCCGGCGATAAGCACGGCCCATGGGGTTTATCCGTAGGCACTCGCACGGGGCTGCCCGGTGGGATGGCAGCAGCCAAGCTGGCCAACATTTCTGTGTTGCGTTCCAGCGCGCTGCTGCTGCTTTCATTTGTGCTCTTGTGCTGTTGATTCACCCAGTTCTTCACTGCCTTGTTTCAGGTCTGGTTGGAACCACTAAAACCCATAACAAAGCAAGTCAAAAGTAAGTATTTCAATAATTAATTTCAATCACTGCTAGTGACAGACCGGCGCTGGCACGTTCGTGCAGTGTTACTGCTCGGGTCCCAGCATTTACCTGGGCTCGTTTTAAAGCGTGAGGCTGGGCTGGATTGTTTGCCAAGACACCGCAGCCCGTATGAAATCCTGTAAAAATGCCGCTGCCTTCGCAATCTGGTATCTGCACCATTTCAGGCTTGAGCTGTGACTAACCTGACAGCTTGGCGGAGGAGCAGGGGCGGCTGCGCGCGTTGCCGTGCTGGCAGAGAGGCAGGCATCGCTCCGTGCATGGCCTCCTTTCCCCTTGGCGGCTCCCAGCAGCCCGGACGCCTGCATGGTGTGAGCCCTGCGTGAAGCAGGCTGAGCCGTGTGCCGTGCAGGCTCTCCCGCGCCCCTCCAGCCCCCGTGCCGCTGCACAGCGATGTTACGGAGCCCGACCTGAATTCAGGCTCAGCATCCCCCACTGTGGCCACGACAGCGGCCCCTTTCAGCCCACAAACGATGTTTTCCCTGGGAGGTGGTTGGGAGCACGAGGCCATGACCCCACCCTTTGCCATGGGGAGGCTGCACTACCGTGTTTGCATGGATTTCCCTGTAAGGGGAAAGCCTGATGGACAGCCTCCCCTTTCTGAGTGCACCAGAAGTGGGATTAGTTCAGGCACCAGTTTCTTTTTCCATGTCCCTTCCAGCCTGCTCTGGCAGGACCTGGTCCTTTCAGGAGCCCCTGAGCTATCCCACGGTGTCCTGGGACAGTCAGTGCCTACAGAATTGCCTCCCTCCCTCCATGCTCTTTGCCTTGGGCTTGGCCGCTTGCTCTCACTCATCCCACAAAAAGCTTTGCCTGGGCAGCCTCCTCTGGAGCTGTTGCATCCCAGGCGCTTGCAGGGCTGGATTTAGTGCACGGCCCTGCTGATGGCAATTACACCAGGGCTCTGGCCACACTCCGTGGCACCGCTCCACAGAAACCCCTCTCCTGGCTGGGGTCTTTGCAGTTTCAAGAGATGCTGGGGCATTTTTTCCTATTATTTAGGTGCCCAACTCCACGTTCGCTTCCATTGGTAACGCTGGGGGTCCGGGCAGGCCGGAGTCCCTGATATTCAGGGCTTCCAGCCCTGATGTGTAAGGACCCAGAGTAATTTACTCTGTAAGGAGACAGCATGTGTGAAGAGACTTGTAAATGTTCTCAATAGACACGTAAAAGAAAACTTATGAAGGTGTTGTGTTTTAAGATCCTAAGGAGGTTCTTTTCAAATTTATGGTGAAATTTTTCCCAGTGGACCCCGGCCATCTGAGAGAAGAGCTGACCAGGTACAGTACTTGTTCTATTACTTTTGCATGCATTCAATTCCGTGTCTTCATTGGTCCAAACCTCTTGGCAGTGGCTATTCTAAGTATCGAAAGAGCTCTGTACTACAAAAACAAAACCAGGAGAGTATCTCTCTCTTCTTGATCCTCTGCTTTTAAACAAAATCCACTTGAAGGATCAGCAGTCTTAAGAGGCTGCAATTTGTTTACTGCCAAACGCTTTAGCAGCTGGGCACCGAGTCTGACTTTGCTCAGTCTAGCTCCCGCCTCAAGCTGTGTTCTGAAAGAAGAACTTCAATTTTATTTTTAAAAATGACATTGTTAGCTCTTATGTTTTAGAGAAAGCTTTGCAAACAGAAACTAAGAATAATACTAAGATGGTGCTTCTGCAGAACATTACCCTTGAGAGACGCAAATGCCCTCCAAAGCATAAAGGAATGTTAACTCTGAAACCTACTCATGGACATTTAAAAGGCAGGGGTGTATTGGTCCTGGTGGTGTCCAGCTGCAGCCGTCTGCAGGGGCTGCGCACTCCTCCCGTGACCCTGCAGACCTGTATCCTTTGGGTTTAAACATGGGCAAGCGCAGGGAGAGGCACGGGGAGAGCCAGCCGCTCTGCAGCAGAGCCCTTCCAGCTCAGCCCGGCGCCTGGCTCTCTGCTGAGCCCAGCTCCCCCCCAGAGCACGTTCCTGTCCACCTCTGCAGGTACCTCTTCACCCTCCAGATCAAGAAGGACCTGGCACTGGGGCGGCTGCCCTGCAGTGACAAGAGCGCGGCACTGCTCGTCTCCCACCTGCTGCAGTGTAAGGGCTGGCGAGTGCCCGCAGGGACCGTGTCCCTTCCCCAGGGGCACTCAAGGGGGCTTGGGCTGTGTAGCCAGGGGTTCCGCCTGCAGTGACTCCTCGCAGCCTAACCCATGCTATCCCCACATCCCCTGCAGCCGAGCTGGGCGACTTCCACGAGGAGACGGACCAGCAGCACCTGGCAACCCACAGGTACCTGCCCAACCAGGAGTACCTGGACAACAAGATCATGCACTACCACCGGAGACACGGGTAAGGGCTGCTCCCGCACCACAGCCATCTGCCCAAAGCCCCCGGCGGGGCTGTCCCCGTTAGCAGGCAGGGCCGGCAGTGGGGTGGGTGTGATGCCAGCGTGTGCATGTCCGAAATGGCATTTTTTCAGCCCATTTCAGCAGCTGCCTTCTCACTCTTGTCTCTTGCTGACATGCTTGTGTCTCCAGAGGGAAGACGCCAGCTGAGTCGGACGTTCAGCTGCTGGACGTGGCCAGGAAGCTGGAGATGTACGGGATTCGCCCGCACCCCGCCAGCGACGGCGAGGGGACGCAGATCAACCTGGCTGTGACACACATGGGGGTGCTGGTCCTGCGGGTGAGCCCGGGGCTCGGGGTGGGCTGCCATCACCCATGTGGGATGGCCTTTCCCCAGGGACATGGCCTCCCAAATCCGGCAAGAGCAGCCCTGGCAGACCTTGGGCGCGGAGGTGATGATCCCGCGGGGCTCAGCCCGTCAGCGCCGGCTGCGTGCCG